CATAGCCAAGACCAATGCTGTGGAAATTTTTAGAGATGAGTAATATTAGAGTATGCTTAGATACACCCTTCTTTGTTGCTCAAGATAATAGCAGAGTGTAAGTAGTGAAGCCATTCTTCCTCTGACCTGCTTGTTCTTCCTTTCACAGGTATTAGCTATAAATTCTCAAGCAGTTGGCTTAGTTTCTATTTCATTAGGATAGTTGAAGTTTTGCTACAGGGACCTATGAACCCACCTGGCTTATAAATTCCATAGGTGGATCACCGGGGGTCTGGTGAATCAAGGGAAATGTTCCCCTTTACCATTCTATCATCATAGAGACTTGCCTCTTGTCTTTTGACAGATTTTGCATGGGCAGAGTGAAACAGAACTAGTAGATACCCTGACCATTAGCTTACCAACACATTTCTTTGTATGAACAATATTTCCTTGGTGTGACATAACATTATTCTAGACTCTAATTCTCTGTAAGACTTCAGATAGTCATGTGGGTGGAGACACTACACTTATGAAAAGCTAACAAATACCTAGATCATTTGTATCTGCCTATCAGAATGAAGTATGGTCATTTCTAGCAAGGAATGGATCCAAAATAGTTAATATATGGAGAAGCAAGTTGGTCTCCATGGTAGTCAGAGACATATTGGTAACTCAGTATGGGTTTCTGTTGCTGACATATTAGGAATAGATGGCAACAGTAAATAGGTTAGCCTGTGTAAAGATTATTTAGCATATTTTGTCTATGTTGTTTTGTGCTTCTTCAACAATAGAAATTTTCTGATAGCACTAACATGTGACATGAAGATCTTTCTACTTTTGGGACACTCATTGATATATATCTCTATCTCAGAAATCTTTGTCACTAATCTTTTAATTTTTTCTACCAAGATACTAACAAGAAAACAAAGGCATTTCTTGTTGAACATAATCTTATATAAGAGGCATAGTCTGTATATAACTGAACCCTGAGCAATTTCTCTTTCAATATATTAAATAGTAGCGTTGGTTAAAGTTTGGGCCATTGGAGGCATTTTTTCATCTACCACTATATACCAATGCCACCAACAAATGAGTTGTGGTATACCAATAGTCAATTTTTATCTTATACCAGTGTATGATGTTGACCCATCTGTAATCCTAAGGGAGTGCCTCTACCCAGAAACTAGTCATCATCTGGTATCTCCTGCAAGGCTATAAGTGTGATGAGGCAGAAGTGGATGAGAGGGTTTCCTGGTCCCTGTAACTTTTACACTTAGTTTAGCCCTCTGACCCATGCAGTTCTACCATGTGTTTTTCTTCAAAGAAACTCTATTTACTGGAAGAGCTTCCTTATCAACCCTTGGCCTTTGGCCCACAGCCAGTATAGAATGTCCTTTGTCAAGACCTTCTGTTCACTGAGCCAGTCAGCTGGCTTTCAGATATCCTGGAAACTTTGGAGTGGAGTGAAATTTGGGGCTAAGGGGAAGAGTGGATCAGTAGAATATGGTAGGAGTTAGATCAGCTCCATCTTGCCCTGATTGGTCAGTATCCTTGACAAAGGCCTCTGAAAAACAAAGTATCAGTTCAGACATTTGACTGCTAGATCCTATAGAAGACTGTTACAGTCTTCCTTTGTGACTGGATTTGTGACTGTGGATTGTTTTTCTAGCAGGTTTTTTTTCTTTGTGTGAATGGAACCAAAGCTGGTCAACACTTGTGAGATCCCTGCTAGATGTTTTGTTTTGCTTTTCTAGATGGAGTTTTTCTGTGTAGCCCTGGCTATCCTGGAACTTACTCCATAGAACAGGCTGGCCTCAAACTTAGAGATCTGTCTGCCTCTGCCTCCCAAGTGCTGGGATTAAAGGCATGTACCCAGTTAGATGTTTCTTAGGAAATCTGCCTCTTTCTTTCAGCTACTCCTTCCCACCTTTGCTTCTACATTTACTTCCCTCTGAGAGAGTGCAGCCTTCTGTCCAGTGTGTCTTTATGTTAGGCTCTCTCCTTTCTACTGCTCATTCCTTATGGTTCCTGTTTTGTATAACTACAGATGACTTGTGCACACCTGTGTGGCAGGGCAGGGCAGGGAAGGGCAGAATCTGCTCTATTAGCAGACAGACACAATTCTATGTTTTGCTAAAAGAATTCAGAAATCACATTTCTCATCCATACTGCATGTTACATCTTTGAGGAACAAATACAGGGACATACTGGGTGGCTCTGCCATAGTATATGCCCAGATGGATTTTCCTATGGTTACCATAGTTTCTCCATGGTTTAGGTGTCTTCATGCTTCATGAAGGAGGTTATTTTATTTTTATTTCATATGTATGATTGCCGGAAGCCTGCCCCGGCTTGGTAGGAGGAGAAGGTGATCTTCTTTCTTCTCCTCCAGTCGATTCTTCTTGAGGCAGCCGAGGGGGATAGGAATTGGAAGAGCTTTGGCGGGGATAAGACTTGGTCTTATGAGATATTTAGGGTTGCTGTTTAATAAGGTTTACTTCTTTACGTTACTAAAATTTACTTACTAGTCTACTGTAGCTGACCTGCTATCTGTTTGATCCTCTGAGGCCAGAAACTGCAGTTTCTGGCACTTAACACCTCAGCCCAGGGACAGCAGAGAATTAGGCAAATAGGCTTAGTACTCTCTCTGCAGGCACTGCCAGGCTCTAACTTAGGTCTGTTAGTTTGAGGTCGCAGGAAGAAAAGACACTTAAAGAAGTTATTATAGTTTATTACTAAGTGTAAAAAGTTTCCTATAAAAGCTATCTAAGAAACAAGGTGGAAAGGCTCTAAGTGGAGAAAGGGAAAGAATTCTAAGAGAGGAAAAATTCTAAGTGGGGAAATTCTAAGCAGGGAAAAAAGAAGGGGGAGGGCAGACAGCTCCTAACGAAAAAACGTCTGTCTTTGTCTTCAGTACTTATACCTCATTCCGAGTACATGATTACATGTTACAAAGTTCATCACAAGTTCACACCAAAATTCAAATCATAAATTGAAACAGAAGTTTACAACAGATAATGTTTACATGCATATCCATTAGGAGTAATTATCTGACTAAACATCCATCACCTGTCTAGCTCCACAGGTTCACTGAAGGTTTAAAACTATAACTAAGAAATTAGTGAAGTTTGTATAGATAAACCCAAGCAATATTTTCTCTTCTGTCCTAGCACCTATAATAAATTGTGAGTTCCCTTTTAGTGACCCTTAGTTAATTGTTTTACAACCACCTTGGAATGTACTCTGAGCAGGAGAAAGTCTGGTTACTATCTAAGTGCTGTTAACTGATGACACTTGGGAGACTGGCAGAGTTCTCATTGCAGCCTTGACTATCATAAAGGGACTTAATACCAGTCCCACTATAAAAAGAGCTAAATAATCATTGATATAATTTTAGGAATTCTTATAGGATCATCATTAAGACTTAAGAAGTCATCTATTTGTCTATATAGCATCACTACAAGACAGTACATCTTTGTGGGTCTGCAGAGATCTGCTCCAAAGGGATGTGTTATTGCTTAGTGATTGTTACGTATGTTTAACAATAATAATAATAATAATAATAATAATAATAGGGAAAAGCATATTAATAGCAGGATCTTTCCTAAAATATGTCCGCCACAGCCTTGCTGAATGGGGCACACCTGTCGCAGATTATATAATAATCCGAGGCAAGCATTTCAGGATGATCAACTGCTAATTATTAGCTTGTCCCATTATGGCTCTTGACATATGATTGTTTTGCCTGAATGTGTATGTATATTTACCATATGTGTACAGAAGCTAGAAGAGATCCTCTGGAACTGGAGTTACAGACAATTGACAGTGGTTATGTGGGTGCTGGGAATTGAACTTGGGTTCTCTGACAAAGCAACAAGTGCTCTTAACTACTGAGCTATTTCTCCAGCCCCAACCCCCAATAGAGGAGGTCTTATAACCTTGTTCCTAACCTTTATATGTAATGCACTTGTTCCATTTAAGTTTTCAGATTTATAAGCAGATCTCTGCCCAAGTTTAGAGGTTAGTGTTTTTATGCATGTATAGCTTGTAGGCATAATCTTTTTGTGTACTATGTAAAGATTATCCTTGAATTAATCAAATGCTTAGTTCTCTGCCCCCGCACCTTGTTGCAATCCAGGCATGACATTGTTATGTTTATCCCAAATATCTCCTGTTTCAAGTTTGTGTAAACAGTGCTCACTATTTATTCTCTGCCTTGTCAATAAAAGCTGATCAGATAATGATTGGGCAGAAGAAAGAATAGGGTGAAACTTCTGACATCAAGGGGAGGAGGAGAGAGAGAAGAAGTGGTATTCAGACACAAAGAGGGTGAGAGGGGACATGCTAGGAAAACACATCTGAAGCCCAAAGGGCAAGCAAGACCAATAATAAATGCAAGCATCTCAGGGATTTTAGCTGGAAGGTAGCCAGATTAGCCTAGAGGATTAGAATAGATCAAGGTTTTATGCTGTAAAGCTCGTTTAAATAAATCTAGTAGTCTCAGTCTCATTCATTTGGGAGCCAGCCAGGGATATAGAGAAATACTACTACTTTTTAAAATACGTTTACAATAGCTGACACTAAACTGTCCAAACCAAATTGGACAAAAAATACTTTCAAGCAACATTGTTCAAATACTGATAGTTTTTGTTCGTCTTTATGCAACTTTTATGGCTTTAGATGGATAAAGCTTTGTCTTGCTTTATGAAGTAAATGCTTGAGCAAAAGCTGACCTTAATTTTACAGTTTTGAAACAAACACACAAAAAATTACTCTCTAAATTTTCCTCATTTTTGTTCTTTCTTTTGCATGCAGAAAATTGTTATGGAGAGGCAGGGCAACATGTGATTCAATAACTACAGGAAACTAAAGGAAGCAATTTCAGGATGTATGTGCAAGTTCTAATTTGCTTATAGATATTAGAAGAGAGTGGGATAAAGAAATGGGTTTCTAACTGATTTTTGAAGTGGAATCTAAGTCCTTCAAAATGAATGACATTTTCTTTTTCTTTTTTTATCCAGATTTCATCCTAGAATGTCAACATCTTTTCCATTCAACACTTCCATCATGTATAAAAAGACTGTGTTTGTAGAGTACACGGACCAGCTTTTCAGCATTGCAAAGCCCAGGCCACCCTGGATGGGTAATGAAAACAATATTGAGTGCTAATTTTGATAATAGGCACCTCATTTCCTAGCAAGGATCCAGGGCTATACTTACAGAAGGTGGTTACCAAAGGTTATATTTTTTTACTAGGTATCTTTAACTGATACCTTCAGGGAAATAAACTGGCTGTATTTTCTGTCTCTTCTGCTTGGCATCTACAAGCCTGGTCTTGGATTATTTCCTTTTCTTTCTGTCTTCAATCCAGTTTTATCTTCTGCAGTTTTGTAGCTTTAAATTTTCATCTATGTTCTAATGACTCTACTTCTATATTTATTTGACTCTCGAAATATTAATTGTTTATCTCCACTTAGATGTCAAATAAAAATGTAGCATGATCTTAAGATATTTTCTGCATTAGGAATGTTTTTTTATCAATGCTAGAGATCCAACCCAGGACCTTGCACATGTTAAGCAAGTGTTCTATTACTTTGTAACACCATTATTACCTGTCTTAGAATTGTTGCTGAGAATTGTAGGAAAGAAACAGTGTAGTAGCCACAAACTGGTTCATCAACCCCTGGCCCATGACTCCTCTGCAATCTGTATGAAAGTAGGCTAGTAATATATAAGATTTACTCTTGAGAATTTATTTGTAAAACATTCATAGTATGTTCCCTACTCCAAGATGGGAGGGAGGCCACTTGAGAAGTAAAGTTATTACCACCTATTAATATTGGATGATTATTAGAGACTTGGTCAAAGTTCAAGAAAGAGAAATTCACAGAATACAGTTAAAAACTGTGATCATCTTGGAAAAACAAAGGTATTTCATAGTTTTATTCCACTATCTTTAGTTCATTCAATATATTATTTATAGGCATCTTATAAAAATATCCACAGACTATAACTCTTTTTTTTTCTTTTTTCTTTTTGGTTTTTCGAGACAAGGTTTCTCTGTGTAGTCCTGGCTGTCCTGGAACTCACTCTGTAGACCAGACTGGCCTCGAACTCAGAAATCCGCCTGCCTCTGCCTCCCAAGTGCTGGGATTAAAGGTGTGCGCCACCACCGCCCGGCTGACTATAACTCTTAATTTCCTCTTGATTTCTATGTCATAAACTACCCACTTGTCATAATGTAAATTCAATCATAGGAATCACCTATGATCTTTCTACTTTTTTCCTTCCCCCCTCACATAAATAAGGTCCTACATATCATGTTCCCTGTATACTTCTATAATCTTATTTTCTATTCTACTGATCATTCATGTTAATTCAGCTATTTTATTCAATGATGCCAAATTTATTTATTTTTTGAGACTTTTGAATTTGTTTTATTTGTTTTTAATGTTGTTCTTCTAGATAGTTGAATTAATGAATACATTAAATGATTTGTCAGAAATATTTCCTCAGAACAACTCTGAGGATGAACTAGGGTTAATGGAAAGCATAACTGCTGCTCATCAGCTTCTGCTGTGACTTTAACTCTTACTTTTATAATGACAGGATTTCTGGTATGCTATCCTTCAAGTAACTTTTGAAGGATATATTATTTTAACAGGTCTGCTAGGTCCTATCATTTGGACTGAGGTTCATGACACTGTGGTCATTACACTTAAAAACATGGCTTCTCATCCTGTCAGTCTTCATGCTATTGGTGTTTCCTACTGGAAAGCTTCTGAGGGTAAGTCAAATTCTCTTCTATTGTACTGCCATTCTAGTTGTAGAACGATGTGAAGTATGTTATTGATAGTAAGGGCCATGTTACTCCATTTTGGATTACTATAAAATAAAATACTTAGCTGGATACCTCACAAAGTCAGAGGATTATTTAATTAATAGTTCTGAATTCTAAGAGCATCAGCTATAGTGACTACTCCATGTAATATGGTAAAACAGGTGATTATAGATGTAAACATCTGGAACAATGAGCCAAAATTAACCTTTCCTTCTTAAATGTCTCAATACTGTTACACTTGGACAAAGTCTCCAGTACAAGAAACTTTGAGGGACATGACTAAACCATAACAATATCACACCTTGAATTCTACCCATTTTCTTGTATGTAAGTATTAAACCTTAATAACAGTATCGGCAATAATTACTTTTATGTTCAAGGCCATGTGCTTGCCAGTGGTGGAATCAGGTCTACAAGTAGGCCTATCCAACCCTAAAACTTAAACTCTGAAACACTGTTCTACAGTACAGGGATTTATATAGGTAATGTTGAATTTTGTTTATATAACTGGAAAGTTCCATGAAGTAAACTTGGTGTGGCTGGGTCCAAGGATTTAGTGATGCCTTCAGCATCATTTTTTTTCTCACAATTTCTGCTCTGTATTCCTTTCTCTTTTAGTTTCATTTTTGAGTAGACTTCTTTAGTATGACAAAGATAGCCACTGAAAACTCAAGGTTTGCTTTGATTTTTACATAAAGCAATGGTAATAAGGAAATATCGTTTTTTAATATTTATTGATGTTAGAAACTATGGAAGAGCTATATTGGGAGGAGGAGCATCAGCCTTAGTTAATTTGCTTATAATAAGTTCTTGTCACACAAGAAAAACAGTTTCACTATATAAGTAGTTCACAAGAAAGGCAAAGACTCAAGGAGCAAAGTAATCTTTAATTGAGGCCTCCATCATTCATGGTCTCTGATGTTAGTTTTACTGTTTGTTTCTCAAAGATACTAGAATGTAAATATTTCAAGATAGGTTCATTGTATACATTTGTTGGTTTTGTAGCATGTAACATAATACCAAGCATGTAGTCTTTGTTCCATATAAGAACAAAAGTATAAAAAATACCATTTGCTTTTTCTTCCTAAAATTATATATGTTCCTTGCCTATTAGACTTATTTTTTTATGGGGGCTAGAGTATAGCTCAGTGATAAAGCACTTGTCTAACACGTTTTATTCTTTATATTGGGAACATGGAAGCACCAAAGCATCGCTAATAAAGCTTGATAGTACACACCTCTAATCTCAGCACTCAGGAGGCTGAGTCAGGAGGATCACTATAAATTCTACGCTAACCTGAGCTATAAAGTAAGATCCTATATTTAAAAAATTGCCCCTTCGGGGCTAGAGAGATGCCTCAGCTGTTACAAACACTGACTGTTCTTCCAGAGGTCCTGAGTTCAATTCCCAGCTCACAACCATCTGTAATGTGATCTGATGCCCTCTTCTGATATGTCTGAAGACAGTGACAGTGTACTCACATACATAAAATAAATACAGAATTTTTTTTTTTAAATTGCCCCTTCTAAATATATTTCAAACACGACATGCCACCTTTTTAAAGCCTAAACCTCCATGGTCACAGTGTTGATCCAAAGATGAACAGTTTATCCATGAACGCCATCTTTTGGGTGTAGTTGATTGGCCTAGAGATGAGTATCTTGCCTAACTAAGCTAGGCCAAAGGAAAAAAGTTCCCTCCTTTAGGACTTTGAAAATTTTGAGAAAATGGCTATTATTACCAGATAACCCTGTAACTTTTAGGACAAAGTCAAGTTATTACTTCTTGGATTCCTTGTGACCCCCTCCCAATGAGAAATGTCCCCCATAGTCTTATGTATCTAAACATTTGATACCTAATTGATGATGATGTTTGGAGAAGTGATAGAACTGTTAGGACATAGAACCTTGCTGGAAGAAATACATCACTGGAAATGGGCTTTAAGAGTTTATATCCTCATCCCTACCTCTAGTTTGGTCTACTTCCTTTGTGCAATGAGATGTAATCTCTCAGCTTCCTGCTACAGATGTATGTGTCAGTGTCGTTCTGCAATAATGAACATTTAGCCCAGTAGAACTATATGCCAGAATAAATTCTTCCTTAAGTTGCCTTTGTTCATGCTTTTATCACAACAAAAGGTGACTCTGATTGTGTCAAGTTGATAATAAAAACTAACTAGGACAGATGGTATAGGTTAAAAACCCAGTATTACTATAATGCTGCTATTTTTATTCCAATCTCCTGTGTTCTTCCTTGTAGAATCAGGCAGAGAGTCCTAAAAATCCTACTATGTCAGCCTTCCTTTGCCCAAATAATGTTCTAGGGAAGATTAAGTCTCATCATATGGAGATGAAATGGGATTCTCATCTTTCTTTAGACTCTAATTTTTATAAGGAAAGGACTATTAATAGTTCCTCATCTCCTTATTTTCACATGCTAATAATTGTTTAGCAGATTAAGATGAGATCATTAAAATAACACATTTGACAGTGAGCTCCACTCTAGCTAGTTTCTGCTTAACCTCATAGTTTAAGAAAAGGGTGAATGGGGTGCCAGTTAACTCCAATACTGTCAAGATAGTCTATAGCATTTACAAATAAAGGAAATCATTAATAAATTATTGGAACACATAGTCTATATTATATACCCTAAGTTGTCATTCTGAAATGGAAAGGTCTTAACTTGGGAATTTTCAGACTAATGTGGCCAAATATCAAACAAACTTTCTACTCTTTGGAATTCCCTAATGAAAGAGGTGCAATATAAGAAGACTCTTTAAAGACAGATATATTTGTATGTGTGTTTTGAAAGTTTTCTTATATTAGTGTAGAAACTCTCAAGTGCATAACTTCATGGAAGGAACCTGCTAATTACCAACAGGAACCAGAAATACCTTTTACTCTGTACATGTAAACTCTTTGCTCCATAAGTGTTAATTCGTTTATATTCTTAATTTTGTATAAAAACTCAGTAAATATTTAAGTAAATAAGTGAAATTTTAAAAATATTTATGAATTTGTTATATGTGTGTGTATATGTGTGTGTGTGTGTGTTTGTGTGTGTGTGTGTGTATACCATGTGTATATAGGAATTCACAGAGGTCAGAAGTGGGTATTAGATCCCTTGGATCTGAAGTTATCTATAGTAATAAGCCGCTATATAGGTGTTGGGCACTGAAGCCAGGTGGTCCACAATAACAGTAAGCACTCGTATCTGCTGGGTATTCTAGAGCCCCATGAATGAATTTTTGACAATATATTTTGACTTCTATGTCATTCATCAAATAGAGTATTATTCCTCTTAATAAAAACCTGATTTTTAAAAACCTTTCTATCATATCCTAGTGTGTCCAGTGCCTATGTTTGTAGTAACATTTAATGAAAAAGAGGCCAAGAATTTTAAAAAGAGCAAGGAAGGATATATGGAATAGTTTGTAGGGAGGAAATGGAAGGGAGAATGATGTAATTATATTATCATCTCAAAAAAATAAAAAAGTATATTTTCTAAAGTGCATATCCAGGGAATATTTGTTATTAAATTGAGTTGAATTAGGTAAGGGATGCAAGAATAGAGGCAATATTACTGATGAACAGAATCTGGAAGTTTCAATAAGAACAAAATTTTCGCTACATACGTTAGGATTATTGTTCAAGTATCTCTATAAGATACAGGATTTCTTCCCATTTATAGCTGATCATTTTTAATCTTTCAAGTTAAGTGATAGAAAGTCTATTTCTCTCTGTCTCTCTCTCTTTGTCTCTATCTCTGTCTTTCTCTTTGTGTGTCTATATGTGTTCATGTGAGAGCATGTATGTGTGTGCAGGTTCAAATGAGTCCATGTATATGTTGTGTGTGTGTGTGTGTGTGTGTGTGTCTGTACATGTACATGCATGTAGTGGCCAGAGGGAAAGCTTGCATGTCATTCTTTAGGCATTGCCTCCCCAGTGTTTGAATTATAGGTCTATGACACAAGGCATCAGGATCCCTTCCTAACTAAGTTATGACACAGGGCAGGAGAGTTAATATATCCTTGAGGCAAAACTGTAAATGTATACTGCTGGCCTTGCCAACTGAAAGCAAATTGCTTCTGGTGGTCCCTATGGACAAGTACTGAGAAGAAGGCATTTGCCAGATTAATAGCTGCATACAAGGTACCAGGAGATGTGTTAATTTGCTCAAGTAACGAAACTACATCTAGTACAGCTGCTGCAATCAGAGTTACTACCTGATTTAGTTTTTGATTATCAACTGTCATTCTCCATGATCCATCTGTCTTCTGCACTGGCCAGATAGGAGAGTTAAAGGGAGATGTGGTGGGAACCACGACCCCTGCATCTTTTAAGTCCTTGATAGTGGCAGTAATTTCTTCAATTCCTCCAGGAATACAATACTGTTTTTTTTTTTTGTTTGTTTGTTTTTGGTTTTTTGAGACAGGGTTTCTCTGTGTAGTTTTGGCTGTCCTGGAACTCACTCTGTAGACCAGGCTGGCCTCGAACTCAGAAATCCACCTGCCTCTGCCTCACAAGTGCTGGGATTAAAGGTGTGCACCACCACCGCCCGGCACGATACTGTTTTTGATTCACTATTTTCTTTGGCATAAACAGCTCTAAAGGCTTCCATTTAGCCTTTCAAACCATAGTAACCCTCACTCCATAGGTCAGGGAACCAATGTGAGAATTCTGCCAATTTCTGAGTATATCTATCCCAATTATACATTCTGGAACTGAGGCTGGTGGTTAGGACCCTGGGAGCTGTGGTTGGTTGGTATTGTTGCTCTCCTCATGGTGCCACAAACCCTTTCAGCTCCTTCAGTCCTCACTCTAACTCCTCCATTGAGAACCTCATGATCA